TCGGCTGCCTCAACAACGGAGGTACGGAACAGGATCCATTCAGACTCAATGTGCCCTGTCTCCCCCAGAACATTTTGGAAGTTCTGTTGGAGGTGGGAATTGAAGCTCCTTCTGACAGAAGACTCTGCCAGGCGTTCGCAGCAAACACTTGCGATACATTTTGGACCTGCCTGGTCTGACCGGCATCCTCCCCCACCATCTGAGCCAACTCACCACCAGGTAGTGGTCAGTTGATAGCTCCGCCCCTCTCTTCACCCAAGTGTCCAAGACATGTGGCCGCAGGTCAGATGAAACAACCACAAAGTCGATCATCAAGCTGCGGTCTAAGGTATATGGTGCCAAGAGCACATATGGACACCTTTATGTCTGAACATGGTGTTCATTATGGACAATCCATGACTGTCACAGACATCCAATAACAAAACACCACTCAAATTCAGATCGGGGGGGCGTTCCTCCCAACCACACCTCTCCAGGTCTCACTATCATTGCCCACGTGAGCGTTAAAGTCCCCCAGCAGAACGAGGGAGTCACCGGAAGGCGCGCTCTCCAGCACCCCCTCCAAGGTCTCCAAAAAGGGTGGGTAGTCTGAACTGTAGTTTGGTGCATAAGCACAGACCGCAGTCAGAACCCATCCCCCCACATGTAGGCGGAGGGAGGCTACCCTCTCATTCACCGGGGTAAACCCCAACATACAGGCACCAAGATGGGGGGCAACTAGTATGCCTACCCCGGCTCGGCGCCTCTCAGTTGGAGCAACTCCAGAGTGGTAAGTCCAACCCCTCTCAAGGAAACTGGTTCCAGAGCCAGAGCCATGTGTTGAGGTGAGTCCGACTATATCTAGTCGGAATCTCTCAGCCTCACACACCCACTCAGGCTCCTTCCCCACCAGAGAGGTGACATTCCATGTGCCAAGAGCCAGCTTCTGTAGCCGAGGACCCCTTTGGCCCCTCCCACGAGTGGTGAGCCCATGGGAAGGGGGACCCACGTTTCCTCTTCGGGCTGTGCCCAGCAGGGCTCCATGGGTGAAAGCCCGGCCACCAGGCGCTCGCCAACGTGCCCCACCTCCAGGCCTGGCTCCAGAGGGGGGGACCCGGTGACCCACATCCGGGTGATGGAACACGGTTTCCATTTATATAATTCATCATAAGAGGTGTTCGGGCTGCTCTTTGTCTGATCCCTCACCTAGGACCTGTTTACCATGGGTGACCCTACCAGAGGCATAAAGTCTTAGGCAACTTAGCTCCTAGGATCATTGGGACACTCAAACCCCTCTACCACGGTAAGATGGCAGCCCAGGGAGAGGGTTATACTAACTTCCTCCCACTAATTAAACACATGCATATTAGGTTAATTGGAGACTCTAAATCAGGGGTGCCCAATCCTGGTCCTGGAGGGCCGGTAACCAGCAGGTTTTGTGGTTTGTCCTCTTCCAACACACTTGATTCAGTAGTTGAATCACCTGTGCAGTAGTACATTAGGCTCTGCAGAAGTCAGATGATCACCTTTCGATTGAAATCAGGTGTGCTGAAGCAGAGTTAAAACTAACACATGCTGGATATCGGCCCTCCAGGACCAGGATTGGGCACCCCTGCTCTAAATTGTCCCTAGACGTGAGTGAGTGAGTGAGTGAGTGAGTGAGTGAGTGAGTGAGTGAGTGAGTGAGTGAGCGGTTGATTGGTTTGTTGGTTATTTAATGCCTTGTGATGGACTGGTGATCTGTCCAGAATGTCCCCCTGTCTCTCTCACCCCATGATTGTTAAAAATAGGGAACAGCTCCCCAGCTACTGAAGATGATTATGTTAAGATAGAGAAAACTGAAACTAACTTAAAATCCTCCTCTAAAGTGCTGATGTTTTTATGTAACTGTGCCAGTGACGACTCATTCTATTGTGAGCCATAAACTTTAGTTTTTTCTTCAAACAAATCAAGTTATCATCAGAAACTCCCAGCAGACAGATGAGAAATGGGTTTGATAATGTGACAATGAAATCAAAAAGAAGTGAGATTTGATATCAGGCATGAGTAATACCCTGACTCTAATCTGTATGTTACCTAAACAGGCTCTGAATCTCAGCCACCAGCTGGCAGTGAGGCAACAAAAGCCGAAAGCTCACAGGATGTCAGAATCTACATTCCCTATGAGTCAGCTGAGCTCTGCATCGCCCAGGTAAAATAACAAAAAACAGCTCTGAACTTTTACAGGATCTCACATCTCAACACTGGAGATAATTTCACACATTTACATGAGATGTCCTGCTCCACACAGACAACAATATGAAAACAAAAACAAGGGTTGTATTATAAAATGGTGAAAAAAACGCTTTAAAAAGCCTTTTGCTTCATCACTTAGAAAGCATGCAAACACACAATGGAGGCAGTGTCTGGTTTTACTCACATGGCAGCACTGATGCTTCAACCTCGAGGATATTTGTCCAACATTGTGCTTTGGTGAATTTGTGCTAACCGATACTGTATGCTGTGCCTCTGCTACAGATAGCTCAAGACATGGAAACAATGAAGAAGAGGCATCTGGAAACGGTGCAGGGGCTGGAGGAAAGATTTCAGATCACATCACAGAAAACCCAGGTTAACGAAGATGTGAGAGAGCTTGTGTGTGCAATTTGACACAAATGCAACACAAATGTTGTGTGTTACCAGAAATGGATCCTCCAGAAGGTCAGGTCCTACTATCAGAAGAAGTTAAACGCTTTGAGGAGAATCCTCGATCTCTACCAGGAGAGGGTGGAGAAGAACAAGGCTGAATGGGAGACAAAAGTTGCGGTCGGTCATCAGTTTTTCATCCAATCTCCTCTCTGTTGTTTCCACCCAAAACATTGTAGTTCCGTTAGTAGTGTTTTCTTTGTGCTGCAGAGTTTAACGACACAAAACAAGCATCTTCTGGAGGAGCAGAGAGCTGAGAGGAGAAGAAGTGAGGAGGAGGCCCTGCAATGGCAAATGGAAAAGGTTGGATCTTTATCCTCTGAACAGGAGCACACTCTGGTGGCCACATCTCAGCAGAACACAGATTTTCGTTGTCATATTATCTTAGAACAGATGTCAGTCAGATTCATTTTATGTGTTACTGTGTTAGAACAAAATGCTGGAGCTATTCTCCAACAGGATGGATGCCCTACAATGCCACCAGGCCACTAGTGAGAAAAGCAGCATTTAAAATGTATCTTACACTGCTTTTTTAAATCTCTGAAAATCTCACGTGTTGCTCTTAACAGCCCTACAGGAGCTGCAGATGACCAGACAAGAAATAGGAAAAGTCCAAGACTTGATGGTGTCAGCACAGGAGCAGCAGGAAGCCAAAGAGGAGACTGAACGCTCAGATAACAAAGACCTTACAGCTCAACAACAAGCTGGGGTGAGTTGGAGTCAGTTGCCATGGCCATAGCTCAATCAACTAATCTTAATCTTCTCTCAGGCATCATGTAAAAAGCATTAAATGTTTAAAGACTCCGCCCAGTGAGCTAAAATCATCTGCTGGACTAAAGTTTATCTCTTGATCAACAAATACAGGTACATCTAAAAAAATAGGAGTATATGCATATAACACACACACACACACACACACACACACACACACACACACACACACACACACACACACACTCACACAATGATAGAGAAGCGGCAGAAAGATGTGCACTTATAAACACACTTTTGGCCTGTACTGTATGTACAATCAGTGTCTCTGAAAATTGGAATATTACATAAAATTAATCAAAAAAGAACAGAAATATTAGGTCTCAGAAAAGTAAATTCATTTCTAAATTTGGTTGGACTTTCTTTTGCATCAATCACTGCATCAGTGTGGTGTGGAATGGAGTCCATCAGCCTGTGGTTCTGCTGAGGTGTGATGGACGTCCAGGTTGCTTGGATACCGACCTTCAGGCCCTCTGTATTGCTGGCTCTGGTGTCTCTCATCTTCCTCTTGACAATTAATTCTGTACTGTTCTTTAAACCACAGGAATTTATATCAATATTTGTATCAATCAGATGAAATGATTTAAAATCTATACTTGAGTAAAAATGTATAAAGTCCTTGAGTACAATCTTTTGTTACTTTACTCATGCTAACGTTTTCACAATATTCTACATTTCTAAGACACTGAATGGTGAGTTTCCATTAACTGTTAAAATTACAAGAAATTAAAGCTTGAAATATTTTCCTCTATGTGTAACAAGTCTGTATAATAAAAGTTTCAAAATGTTCTAATTCACAAGATTTACTTAAAAATATTTATTATCTTTTTTTAGCTTTTTTGTGTTTACCACTTTAATTTAACCACCAAATGATTCCTGAGCGCAGCTGTGTCTGCAGCTCACCGCTCCCCATGGGAATGGGTCAAATGTGGAGACCCATTTTCACACCACCACACCAGTGTGTGTGACAACTATGGGACTTTTAACCCTTTAGGCCCAAGGCCTTTTTTCTTTGGGCCCTGGCACCTCCCAATTGGAATGAAACGTTGGAGTTTCATGTCCCAAGTGTCAGTGATTTTTTGCATTCCCCTGGCACAGCTACAATCAAAACAGTTTAGATTGTAAACAAAGCCATTTTTGGTTTTTGATACATTAAGATAAAATAATACTTGAACGTTATTTTAGAAGAGCTGCCCTGTGTGAAAGTGCTGACAGGATGGAGGTTGTGAGTTCAAATTCCATTTAGGAAATTTAGTCAATTGTTTTCTTTATTCCAGGGGTTCTCAACTAAATTTGTTCAAGTTTTTTTTTCCAGCAGACACCAGTGAAGGTCAGATGCTCTTCAAAAATAAAGTTCAAACATCATTGTATCTTAATTTATTACTATTTAAATTGGCCTTGTTTGCCATCTGGGCTGTTTGATTGTGGTTTTAGTTGTGTTTGGAGAATGTGGACAGTTGTAGATGTTTGGGACATGAAACTGTAGAGGCCCCAAATTTGGGGGGCGTTAGGGTTAAACAGGTAAAACTAATTTGAATCTTTATTCAGTCCTGCAGTGTGTCAGATCAACCACTGGAGGGTGCTAATGCCCGTCTGGAAGAGCTGAAGAAGAACCTTTACCAGAGGGAGAGAGAAATCACTGAGCTTCTAAAGGCAGAGAGAAGATCCGTCCCTCCTGTCCCACACTGCAGTGTTCTGCTCCCCACTGTCATACACAAGGTCTAAACCAATCACCGCTCAAATAATTCCAGATACTCCAAACTGAACCAACTAATTCAAGGCTGTTGTGCTGATACAACCCAAATCTAGGTGCATGCGATCTGTTGCTCAGAGGCTGAGACAAGAGCTCTTTTGGACAAAATGATCGAAGACAATCAAGTTGCTTTGGCTGAAGTTAGAGACAAACTGGACCATCTGCAGAATGCTGCCGACAAGAGCGATGACAGAGAGAAGACAGTAGACAAGGAGTGGTAGGAAGTCATTTAAACAGTGTAAAAATAAAAATAAACTGTAAATTAGGTCACATTCAGCTACTACATGTTATTTATAACCAGGAAAATGTGATATTTTTCAACTTTACAGGTCAAATGATTCCATTTTAACTATTTTACAAGACACATTGAGGGAGTACGAAGTCTGCCATGTGGCTTTAGACTGCATAAAATCTGGAGAAAACCCTGTAACAAATGGTAAATTAAGTGCTCCAGTAATAAGATGTGACCGGACCTCCTTTTGCTCACTGATTTTGCTTTTGCTCAGATTGTGAAACCTCAGAGATGGAGGACATTGTTGGACGAGAGACAAATGCTCACAAAGCAAAGAATGTTGGCCAGCAGCTTCTCCTGCTGCAGGATCAGGTTGGTGTTTAGTCACACAACTCAGATAAGAGTCCCGTCAAATCCAGTGAGACTGGAAATCACATATTCTAATTTCTGCTCAGCTTTGATTTAATGTTTACAGACAAGTGCATGGGGACAACTTTCTGCTGCATCATCTTTTTTTTCTCAAGTTAAAGCAGGAAAGGGAGGACAAAAAGAAAATTATTGAGAACTACACATCAGAAAGGTCCATGAGGAAGAAATATTACAATATGGTGGAAGAAATGAAAGGTGTGGTAAACAGTTTGAGTGGGGTGACCTGTTGATGAGTTATTGGTGAGGTTCACATTTCTGTTCATTACAGGTAAAATTAGAGTGTTTTGTCGAATTCGTCCAATGAACCAAAGTGAAGCATCGCAGGGTGGGGTGGCTGCTGCTGTGGATAAATTAGATGATTACTCTGTCTCCGTGGAAACCCCTCGTGGGCCCCGAGACTTTGTGTTTGACCGGGTGTTCAGCGCCGAAGCCTCACAGGAGGATTTATTTCAAGACACAAACAGGTGAGGACGTGCGCAAATTAAGTGAGCTTTTATGAAATAAATAAAATGTAACATCTACAGATGCTTTTATTACATTCAGATAGGAAAATGTTTCTCCATCAGGTTGATCCAGTCGGTCATCGATGGATACAATGTTTGTATCTTTGCTTATGGCCAGACCGGCTCCGGGAAGACCTTCACCATGGTGGGGGACAAGGATCAAAAGAACCCTGGGATCATGCCGAGATCTTTCAATGCTATATTTGATATCATGCGGGACAACGGGTCTAAATTTGACTTCAAGGTAGCAGACAGAACGTTTCCAAAAAGCAAAATAACGAGAACCACTTCTGATTTGATGACTCTTATGCCCTCAGGTGTCAGCCTACATGCTGGAGTTGTACAACGACAAGCTGCAGGACCTCCTGGCCAACCAGGCAGGTGAGACCCATGCACAGACCCAACCCCGCAGCCCATCCAGGCGGGTGGAGATCAAAAGAAACAGAAAGGGGGTTGTATTCGCTCAAGGAGCAGAGACAAAGGAGGCCTCCAGCACCCAGGAGCTCTACGCTTTGTTCCAGCAGGCCTGCGCCAACAGACACATCGCTGCCACCAGTGAGTTCTCTGTACAGTGTGATGTCACTCAGTTCAAACAGGGTCATGCAAATGGTTCACATTAGTAGACAGGGAGGTGGTCATGTTTACTGGACCAACAAGAGGAACCCATCAGAATATTGGCTGGCACAGAGCCCAAACTGTTTCATGCTTTTTATTCCTTTTTTTCCCATTTCTCAAGAGATGAATGTGGAAAGTTCCCGCTCCCATCTCATTGTTGGCATCATGGTGGAGAGCAGGAATCTGACCAATGGGAGTGTGAGCACTGGAAAGCTGAGCCTCGTGGATCTAGCAGGTAGTGAGAGGGCAGCCAAGACTGGTGCCAAGGACCACCAGCTCAAGGTGCACCCTTAATTATCTCAAGTGGGACATGTAGGGATCTGAAAATGACAAATATTCATCTATGCTTCTTCTCCTCATCCCTTCTGCAGGAGGCAAACTCCATTAACAAGTCTCTGAGTGCTCTGGGTGATGTGATCTCAGCCTTGTCTGCAGATCTGCCTCATGTACCATACAGGAACAGCAAGCTCACACAGGCAGGGATAAAAAAAATTCCATGACCACAGCATTTAATTGGATGAATAAAATCAAATACTTGTCCTGTCTCTCAGGTAATGCAGGACTCGTTGGGTGGAAACGCCAAAACGCTCATGATCGTTAACATCTCTCCTTCAGAATGCAATCTTGATGAGACTCTGACATCTCTAATGTAAGAAACACAGAAAAGCATTTCTGTCCTTGTGGTGGTAACCACTCATTAACACCTGAACCTGCTGAACTCAGTTATGCAACCAGAGTGAAAGCCATAACCAACAACGCCCAGAGAAACGTGGAGAGCAAAGAGATCGCCCAGCTGAAAGAGGTGCAAACTGTTATGGTTAAGTCCAAGTGTGAATGTCTGTCATGTTGCTTCTTGACTGCAGCCAACTAAACAACAATAACACAAACACAGTAACGTTATTCTTATTTTTATTTCTGACAGATGGTCATGAAGCTAAAATCTGGACAAACTGTGGAGGAGGTGAATTTTTGAGCTAATTGGGTTTTATCATCTTTGATTGAGCTTAATTTATGCTAACAGTCACATATTTACAATAGTTTCAATAGTTTATTTGATGTCAGGGATATTGAGATTCATTATCCCTGAGCACATTCAGATTTTTTTCTTCCAAAGACGGTGACTGCCTGTAATGTGTACAGCTTGGATGGCTCTTTATCATTAAACATTTCTAAGTAATTGATTGATGCCAGTAAAAAGTCATTTAAAATGTTTAATGATTGGATCGTTTATCATCTGTTTGTTGCCTAAATGCCTCTAAATAAAATTAAAAAACCCAACACAAGCTTTTGGTGTCTTGATGAGTCAAATTCAACAGCTGGGGATTAAAAAATATTTTATGAGTTCGTTTTTCATCATAAGACAAACATAAAATGTGCTGGATGGTAAACTTTATTTAAAGTCCTTATTTACTGTGATAATGTACATGCACATTTAGGATTTGTTTATAGTTTTTTGTGAAAAGAAGAATCATTAAATCTAACTCGGATTTTTAGAATAGAGCTCTCCAACTGACCCTAGGACACCTCTAGTGAGGCTGACTGTTATTCTTTTTGTTACAGAGGAATCACAATTTCTGACTTTGCAAAGGAAAATGAATGCAAATATTAAAAACTGCAATTTATTTATTTCATACAAGTCCACAGTATGGGTTTTTTTTGTAAATTACATAATGTCTCTGACATTTTTGAACAAGTTTTACTCAATTTCATATTAATTAGATTTTGTGAAGAAAAAATATGAGTAGACTGCAATTATTTGATTTGAAAACACTTGAAATAATGTGCTACAAAGTCAACTACAACGTGCCTGATAACAATCGGTGTTTTTATCATAACAATGGCTTCATGCATGCAAATAAAAACAAGAGTTTCTGATTCTATGTGATGGAAATAAGAATAAATGTTGTGTTAATTAGACAAATTTGGATGTTACTAAAAGGAATGTCAATCAGAGATTATTGTTATACAAGCCTACAAATATATATTTCCAACAAATGATTTAACCTCTCAATGTGTTTATGAATACAATCACCACTTTGAATCCTCATATCAGAAACAACCTAAGAAGCCAAAAGCAAAAGACAATGGTGGAAGACTACAGAAAATCCAAGCTCAACAGTCCTGAATAGATTTTTTTATGGTAAAGATTCCCTATGTGGCTCTGTTCAAGGTCTTTCTAACTAAAAATAGGCTTTTGTAGGTTTAGCTTATTTAGGTGGAGCGTTATTCCATGCATCATTGCCCCATGTGTCTGGGGAAAAGACCTAGGACTGCCTTATTTAAGAACAGTACTCATCTGTCCTCAGGGAGCTGCTGGAGAAGCTAAGCAGGATCATTTAGAGCAGGGATGTCAAAGATGCGGCCCGCGGGCCGGATCCGGCCCGCAAGCGGGTTAAATCCGGCCCGCGAGATGGTTGTGTAAACTTTATTTTCATACTTTACAATGTAGAGTGAAAATAAACATATCATTGTGAGCAAGTTTTCTCTGTAATGAGTATAAATAAAACAAAGCTGCGCTCAAGGCTCACACAAGAACTTGAATCACATCCTGAAGTTGGCTGCCACTCAGGATCTGACTTCTGATGTTGATGTGCTGGTGAAAGCTAAAAGATGTAAAGTAAAATGAGTCAAATATACTTTAAGTGCTGCAAGAAACTGATCTTGCCATGTGATCTGTAAGCTCTTTGAATCACTAAGGAATGTTTTTTTTATTTGTTGATTTTTTTTTTTTTTTTCAAATTTTCAAGTACACTTCAGGTGTTTTACTTATACTATACTGTCCTCAGGCTCCAGCCTTGTTTTATATTGATTGTATTAAAACAAAGAAAACAATCTGAAGTTTTTTATTTTATTTACCGGTCCGGCCCTCTTGGGACTAGATTTCCCTCAATGTGGGCCCTGAGCTAAAATGAGTTTGACACCCCTGATTTAGAGCAACTGTGTTTGACTAACCCACATTCAGGTGGTGGTTGCTGTGCAGTGCAAAATGAATGACTAGATGTCAGAGTGCAGCCTCTGAGCTTTTGATCTGAAAAGGCACAAAAATAACCAGGCTGGACCTTGCATGAAGGTTTTCTGTGAGACTCTGATCTCCCTGTGTCTGTTTATCTGTAAATAACAAATTTCACATAAAGATTTTAATGAGGTGCTGTTTTCTAGCTAGATTCACTTTTAATTAGGTGAGACTGAGGCTTGAACTCTTTCAGAATGAACAAACAGAAGAACTTTGACTGAACCAGGCCACCTTAACAAATACTGTGTTTAGAACAATACTAGTTATTTCTCAGTTCTTCACCGAACCAGAAACACCAGTCTGTGACCTGTGGAGTTGGGGTTCTCATGAAGTCTAAAATCTCGGGGAGATGGTGATCCTGTACGGACGTGGCTTCATAGTGAGACCAAACTCGGTGCAGAGATCCAGTTCTTGCCCAGGAACGTTTTCAATCTTAAGCCCATGAAGCAATGTGGTGAGAAAGACAAACATCTCCAAACGTGCAAACCCATCACCAAGGCAGCGCCTCTTTCCCAAGCCAAAGATCAGGACCTTCTCTGTTAGTTCCTTGTTGAGCTGTCCGGATGCACCTAAAAAGCGGTTAGGTTGAAATTTCTCTGGATCTCCCCAAAGATCACTGGAAAAAACACATCAAAGATTGAGCAATAAAGCTACAACTTTATGAACCAAAGTAAAAGATTTCCCACTTGACGTACACATCATGATTGGCTCCATATTGGTTAACGAAAACACACGTATCCTTGGGAATGAGATATCCATTCAGGATGGTGTCTCGAGTGGTGCTGAAGAAAACACAAACAAGTTTCAACAGGCTGTAAACCTTGATGCTGTGAATAAAACCTCCATCTTACCAGTGAGGAATGGTGAAAGGAACGTAGGAAGAGTGACGAAACACTTCATAGATAAACGCTTCGGTGAAAGGCATCTTGGGCTTATCTGAAAACCGAGGAAGTCTGGCTGAGCTCATGTGATCATCTGAAATAAAAAGGAAAGAAAAGACAAAATTCTACAGGAAAAACATTCCTTTATAAACTAATGTCCACTTCCTTCTGGTGCTTTGGGTTTCTCTTGAACTCACTCACCTCCCCGTGTTCTCGTCCACTCTGTCACCTCTTAGTTAACCCCCCCACACACACACACACACACACACACAATTCAGTCAGCCTGCTTCAAAAGTATGTCTGGTGTCAGCAAAATGGACAGATCTTTGTGCGTCTCTTTCAGTAACTCTCAGGTCCATCACTGTTGGGTATTTAGGTCATTTCTCTAATATTCAGAAAACAGATGACACAAAAACCCGGTAAGTATATGTGATAAAGTCTTATTTTACTTTATACATTTTTATCTGCTTGTAACGCTTGTTGGGAGAAGATAACAGTAATATAGCTATTTGAATGAGTAAGTGTTAGCTTCTTTTTTATTTAAATTCTGTAATTTAAGTTATTTTTGAAGTTTTTTATATTTCGTTAAGTTGTCGTCGACGTCTTCCTCCGCTTATCCGGGTCCGGGTCGCGGGGGCAGCATCCCAACTAGGGAGCTCCAGACCGTCCTCTCCCCAGCCACCTACACCAGCTCCTCCGGCAGAACCCCAAGGCGTTCCTGGACCAGATTGGAGATGTAACCTCTCCAACGTGTCCTGGGTCGACCCAGGGGCCTCCTGCCGACAGGACATGCCCGAAACTCCTCCCCAGGGAGGCGTCCAGGAGGCATCCTGACCAGATGCCCAAACCACCTCAACTGACTCCTTTCGATCCGGAGACGTAGCGGTTCTACTTCGAGTCCCTCCCGAATGTCCGAGCTCCTCACCCTATCTCTAAGGCTGAGCCCGGCCACCCTACAGAGGAAACTCATTTCGGCCGCTTGTATTCACAATCTCGTTCTTTCGGTCATTACCCAAAGCTCATGACCATAGGTGAGGATTGGGATGTAGATCGACCGGTAAATCAAGAGCCTGGCTTTCTGGCTCAACTCCCTCTTCACCACGACAGATCGGCTCAGCGTCCGCATCACTGCAGATGCTGAACCAATCCGCATGTCGATCTCGCGATCCCTCCTACCCTCACTCATGAACAAGACCCTGAGATACTTAAACTCCTCCACTTGAGGTAGGACCTCTCTCCCAACCCGGAGTTGGCAAGCCACCCTTTCCCGGTCAAGAACCATGGTCTCAGATTTGGAGGTGCTGATCCTCATCCCAGCCGCTTCACACTCGGCCGCGAACCTACCCAGCAAGAGCTGAAGGTCAGAGCTGGATAAAGCTAGGAGGACCACATCATCCGCAAAAAGCAGAGACAAGATTCTCCTGCCACCAAACTCGACACACTCCACACCACGGCTGCGCCTAGAAATTCTGTCCATAAAGGATATGAACAGAACCGGTGACAAAGGGCAGCCCTGGTGGAATTCAACCCTCACCGGGAACAGGTCCGACTTACTACCGGCTATGCGGACCAAACTCACGCTCCTCTGGTAAAGGGACTGAATGGCCCTTAACAGAAAGCCACCCACCCCATACTCCTGGAGCGTCCCCCACAGGGTGTCCCTGGGGACACGGTCATAAGCCTTCTCCAAATCCACAAAACACATGTGGATTGGTTGGGCAAACTCCCATGCCCCCTCCATCACCCTTGCAAGGATATAGAGCTGGTCCACAGTTCCACAACAAGGACAAAAGCCACATTGCTCCTCCTCAATCTGAGATTCAACTATCGATCAGACCCTCTCCAGTACCTTGGAGTAGACCTTTCCAGGGAGGCTGAGGAGTGTGATCCCCCTATAATTGGAAAACACCCTCAGGTCACCTTCTTAAAGATGGGGACCACCTCCCGGTCTGCCACTCCACAGGAACCGCCACCGATAACCATGCAATGTTGAAGAGACGTGTCATCCACGACAGCCCTACCACATCCATAACCTTGAGATACCCAGGACAAATCTCATCCACCCCTGGGGCTCCGCCGCTGTGTAGTTGTTTGACTACCTCAGCAACTCCTGCCCCCGAGATTGGACAGTCCATCCCCAGGTCTCCCAGCTCTGGCTCCTCCTCAGAATGCGCGTAGGTGGGATTGAGGAGCTCCTCAGAGTATTCCTTCCACCGTCCGACTATAGCCCCAGTTGACTTCAGCAGCTCCCCATTCCCACTGTAAACAGTGTGAGCAAGTTGCTGCCTCCCTCTCCTGAGGCGCTGGACAGTTTGCCAGAACCTCTTTGGCGCCAATCGATAGTCTTTCTCCATGGCCTCACCAAACTCCTTCCACGCCCGAGATTTTGCCTTGGCAACTGCCACTGCAGCACCCCGCTTGGCTACCCGGTACCCGTCTGCTGCCTCCGGAGACCCACAGACCAGCCACGCCCTGTAGGCCTCCTTCTTCAGCCTGACGGCTGCCCGAACCACTGGTGTCCACCAGCCGGTACGGGGGTTGCCACCACAACTGGCACCAGCCACCTTAAGACCACAGCTAGCAACAGCCGCCTCAACAATCGCAGAGTGGAACCAGGCCTACTCGGAGTCAATGTCCCCCACTGCTCTCGGAATGCGGTCAAAGCTCTGCCGGAGATGGGAGTTGAAGACCGTCTTGACAGGTTCATCTGCCAAGCATTCCCAGCAGACCCTCACTATGCATTTGGGTCAGCCAGGTCTACGCGGCATCTTCCCCTGCCATCTGATCCAACTCACCACCAGGTGGTTATCAGTTGACAGCTCCGCTCCTCTCTTCACTCGGGTGTCCAAAACATATGGCCGCAGGTCAGATGATACGACTACAAAGTCTATCATCGACCTGCGGCCTAGGCTGCCCTGGTACTAAGTGTACCGGTGGGCATCCTTATGTTAGAACATGGTGTTCGTTATGGCCAAACTGTGGCTTGCACAGAAGTCCAATAACGAAACACTACTCGAGTTCAGAACAAACAACAGTCAGCACCCGTTCCCTGACCCAAAGGCGTAGGGAAGCTACCCTCTCGTCCCCCGGGGTAAACCCCAACACACCGGAAGAGAGTCTTGGGGCTAACAAAAAGCCAACCCCAGCCCTCCGCCTCTCACCCGGAGCAACTCCAGCAAAGGGTAGTGTTCAACCCCTCTAATGGACTTGGGTTCCAGAGCCAATACTATGTGTCGAGGTGAGTCCGACTATATCTAGCTGGTACTGCTCAACCTCTGCCACAAGCTCCTACTCCTTCCCCACCAGCGAGGTGACGTTCCATGTCCCAAAAACCAGTTTCCTTGTCCGGGGATCAGACTGCCAAGGCTCCCACCTCGGTCTGCCACCCAACCCACATTGCACCGGACCCTTCATGTTCCTCCTGCGGGTAGTGGGTCCACAGTTGGATGAGCCCATGTATCCGGTTCGGGCTGGGCCCGGCCGGGCCCCATGGGCAAAAGCCCGGCCACCAGGCGCTCACTCACGGGCCCCAACCCCAGGCCTGGCTCCAGGGTGGGACCCCGGTAACCCTCCGGGCCGGGTACTCCGACTCTTTGTTTTTACATCCATGAAAGATCTTCTGAACCGTTCTTTGTCTCACCCTTCACCTAAGACCAATTTGTCATGGGAGACCCTACCAGGGGCACAAAGTGCCCCAGACAACATAGCTCCTAGGATCATTAGGGCACTCAAACTCCTCCACCACGATAAGGTGACTGTTCAAGGAGGAGTATTTAGTTAAGTTCCTTTTCATTTCTATTTTTACTTCCTGTGTCCCCTCAAAAGTCCCCAAAGTTTTCCTTGCCTTCAGCTTCTTATGCCTAGTTTATAATTCTTCGTCAGCAAGTTTGTGCTTTATACTCAATATTAACGGAGAAGTGTGTCGGGTGTTTTGCAGCAATTCTCTGTTAGGACAACAGAGGGCGTAGCGTTTCCCTGGGGTATCCTGCCATAACTGCAGTCACATCTTGTGTGACCTAAGGCCTAAGGATCAGGCCTCTGCCTTTTGCAGATGATGTGGTCCTGTTGGCTTCATCAGAACGTGATCTCCAGATTTCGCCAGAGCAGTTTGCAGCCGAGTGTGAAGTGGCTGGGGTGAGAATCAGCTCCTCTAAATCTGAGACCATGGTCTTAAATCAGAAAAGGGTAGAATGCCTTCTCCAGGTCAGGGACGAGGTCCTGCCTCAAGTGGAGGAGTTTAAGTGTCTCGGGGTCTTGTTCTCTAGTGAGGGAAAAATGGAAAGTGAAATCGACAGGCGGATTGGTGCTGTGTCTGCAGTGGTGCGGGCGTTGTACCGATCTGTCGTGGTGAAGAGAGAGCTGAGCCAGAAGGCAAAGCTCTCGATTTACCGGTTAATCTGCGTTCCTACTCTTGTTGCAAGTCCGAGCAATCGGTCAAGGCTTAGAAACAGTGGTCAGAGACAAGGGTCACACAAGGGTCAAGAGGACAGTAGTTCAGGACTTGCTGGTGAGGACAGAACTAGGCAAAGGGTCAAAGGACAAGCTGTCTTCTCTGGATCCACCCATGGACACACCCCTGGGCCCGCCCCTAACTCCACCTCTGGCGGGAAAAGAAGGAATGGCATGGAGTGAGGAGAAGTCCAGCTGGACCCAGGAGCTCTCAGGAATGCTGGAGGAAGATCTACAATTTGCTACCAACATGAAGATTTATGACCTGTGCTCTCATTCCAGGAGTGCAGAATGTAACTTTTGTGCCCTCATGTGAATACTGCATGTAGTGAAAAAAGATACCAAATGTCTTATGTAGAGCTAAAAAAGTGTATCTGGTAAATGACCCCTTGACCTAAACTGTCAGGAGAGAATGACTTGTGACTCTTACATTGTTTAGAGCAGTCTCAGAAGTGATATAAAAGGATGCAGCTCAGATCGAGCGGGGCTTCGTTCTTGGGGAGATTCTGAGAAGACAGGAGCTAGTGTAAACTAACTCTTATTTAATCATTTTGAACTAATTCCTCCGTGGGGGATAGCAGTTGTTTTTTATTTACCCATTTTTGTATTTTTGATTTTGTAATAAACTTTTTTGAAAAAGAAACA